CTAAAATTAGCTGAATATAAGCATCGGTTTATCTAGCAGTCGGCGGCGCCTCTTTGGGTGGCCATTCAATACCTGTTTCCTGTCAGACTTGTCATAAACACAGGAATTAAAAAACATATTCCCACTTTTATGCAACTGCGATTTGCGAAGGAAAATAAAACCGTCTGTTTACTTCAGCAAACCCCCGTCTGTGGTGGTTATCGCGACCGGCGTCCGGGGAATAGGCGGGGTTTTGTTTCTGTGGTGTTCGTGCTATCCGGACCGGGGGCCGCGGGTAGCACCTACCTATCGCCGGGACCGGCGTGGTGGAGCGGACGTCAACGAGATATTAACACGGGCTATCATTTATACCCATCAAACAAGGTTTCATAGCGACATTTTTCTGCTGTAAACCTCTGCCCCGTCAAACTCGACGGACGCGGCTAGCCAGACGGTCGGCCCGAACGTCGGGCTGACAAGACTTTTGTGGATTCAATAATTTTTAACGGAAAATTATGGACCAACCGCCGTCGCCTGGTTGGTGATTTCTTTCTTTCCGGGCCATGTTATATGGTGCTGTAAATCTGACCGAGACAACGCATCCAATAAAATTTCTGCCCCTCTGTCGGGCGGAGAAGGAGACGCGGGCCTCGAGTATTTAAATATTTCGTGAATTGGTCGCTGAGTGCAACCTAGGGAACTATTCAGACGGAGAAGGGCCAATTTTTCGAGTTCATATAAAAGTTTAACCACAGTGATGTAGTTAAAAAGCAAGAAAACGCTGCAGAATAAACGTTATACAAACGGACGACAGCACAAGGAATGTAATTTTGGGAGAGATTTTAAATAGTTTTTCAATAAAATGACAACTTTTTTCATATAAACTTTAAGACTATTACAAAGGCGATACAAAATAAAGTAGTAGAAGGTCTTTGTAATGGAGACAATAAAACAACATAGGCGCGATCTACTTGAATCACATGAACGCTTTTTCAAGACGGATTCTACTCAATCGTCTCGGCACTTCATCTTAAACTTTTTATTTTATTTACACTTACAGTCAACACTTACGGCTGTGAGTCACATCTAGAGAGAAAAGAGTAGGTCTAAAGTAGAATAGTCCTTGTTCCGGTTTATTTATCATGCTAAAGTTATATACATACACACACAAATATATATATATATATATATATATATATATATATATATATATATATATATATATATATATATATATATATATATATATATATATATATATATATATATATATCCGAGTGTCCTAAAAGTTACTCATCAAGTATCCAACTGACACAGCCCCCCCCCCCCCCCCATCCTCCGGACCCGAGCCGTGCATGCCGATATACTGAGTGATCAATACATTGTGTCTTCGATCTGCCCAATCCCCCGGGCCGGCCACACCTCCTGTCAGACTGGGGATGTGACAATGTCTGGGCCACCCGCGGGCCTCACCCCCAGCTCACGCAACCAATCGATAATTTCAGGAGTGATCGATCTCGTCAAATCACCGGCGGAGTGATGTGTTTGTTTTATTAGTACAGCAGAGTGTGCGTGTATTAAAACTGATGGTTTGGTCAGAAGGCAGTAGGGGTACCCCAGAGGGTGTGTATACGTCTGGACCATGGCCATTAAGTTATTATGTCCATCACACTGAGACGAGCCTATGTTTTAATATAAGATACAGTCTCAGATTCAAGACCCCCGCCTCATTACTGAACGCCTGACAGTTTGGCATTAATCACAACCCTGTTACGTCGAAAATAGTCAACGCTATATCGCCATACATCAAACATGCTATACGCTAAACATACGTCATCAATCCCACAAAACGCTTAAGCCAACTTCGCCCTTGTTCTCTTATATCTATTAACCCCCCCCCCTCACTAATCCCACCCTATACATAACTCTTTCAGAACAAGCTCAAGTCTAAGAACTCCCCCCCTCCCCCAAGAGCCGGCTCATTACCCCAGCCACTAGGAATCCTAAGCTGCCCGCTAAATACGGTCCAGATGATACATTAATGACTCCACTATGTCAGACTCTACACCGAGGGGAAGCTCTCACAAGAACCGGCGTCAGCACAGACTCCAGACTCCACAGAGTCATGAGATTTATCTGGTCGTAACACCCCCCCCCCCCCCGTCCCACTTCTGGAGTCGCCAATTCCAGACAGGCAGTAAAAGGATGATGATCAATGATTCTTCCAGTCGTCGGTGATGTCACTTCTACAGGGCTCCGGAATTTTCTCTTTTTCTTTTCACTCCCACCTCAATCTACCTCTTCACTCTCTCGGTGAGATTAAAGAGAAATAACTCGATTGTTAATTATGCTGGCACTTATCTCCCTTGCCCTTACCTTCTCAGTAATCAGGGGTTATCAAAATATGAACCCAACCCCTCAACTTATCAAGGCCCTAAACCACACGCGCATCTGAAATCAAACTCACGATGTCTCCATTAAACTTGTTTCACCATACAAATCGTTTAGCCGTACCCACATATGCTAATGTAGAAAATAGTTGGTAAAGCCATTCTTGTACTATGGGTTTGGGTATGGCTTAAGTTTATTGGTATAAAGAGAAAGGATTAAGCTTAAGGTTTGGAACTGTCAAGGTGTGACAGTTATGGGGTTAAGATTAAGGTTTGGAATTATCAAGGTATGAGAGTTATGGGGTTAAGATATCGCAGCTCTGGTTAAAATAAACAGAGCAAACATTGACAGCATAACTGCGTGAATTGGATTCGAACCTGGGTATGACTTAGCTCCGTGCCGTTCAGCAATTTTGTTATACAATACAGAAATGGCGACTGAAAGAAATACTATTAAACGTAATATGTAAACGTAAATAGCCGAAACAAACGCGAACGGTGGAATGAAGATTTAGATAAATGTCTTATTCCTTAAGCAAATACCAAGCATTTAACACATACATTGGCGATGTCTTCCAGACTCAAACTCTCGGCGTTCCTTCACAACTAATGGGATGTGTTTGCTTTAAGGGGAAAACAACTCTCCGTGATAAAGTTGTCCCCCCTTTCACTTTGTGCGCCACTCTTCTAACGGGGTTGGCGCGCAACTGGTGGGGTAATGTATGGGGCAGACGCTCCGGGGGGATGGGTAGTCGCGCCGGACCCGGGGAAACGGGTGTGCTGCTGTTCCTGGTGGTGCCTGGATTCTGGCGTCGTAGTGGGTGCCAGGTCCTTGTGTCTTAACCGGCTAATTCTATCCGGCACACGGTCGTAGGCTGCTACATTCCCAGCGCTAATTAACAAAGCCATTAAGTCCGGCACCCTGATTTTATCTCCATGAAACGAGTTTTGAGTTAAAGTTTGGCTTAAGCTAAATTATTTAAGAAAATTAAAATCCAAATGCAAAGACAACACTTAACTAAATAAAAATTCTTCTATACTGTTAAATAAAAAACTAAAAATTCCGAAGTTGCTTTTTTTTCTAACTTATTACATCACAAAGAAACCAATCTATTTGGAATTAAGCAACTCATTTAAATAGTAGATTTAGACAAAATTTACATTGTTTATTGACAAAGTCGAAGTATTCACAACAGTTAAGAGTAGGCTATTCAGGATTTGCAACCTATACAGAGTTTCTTCCAGGCATCTCTTCGGGGGGGCGAAGCCCCCCCGAAAAATTTTTTCCGCCCCCCCCCCCCCCGAACGAAATGAAATTTATATATTTTATATAGAAAATATATACTTTTAACAGTGTCCGCCCCCCCCCCGAAGAAAGTTTACCGCCCCCCCCCCCCGAAGATTTCAAGCGCCCCCCCCCGGAGAAAAAAGTCTGGAAGAAACACTGAACCTATATTAACAAAATTCATTTAATTTTAAAAGCGACTTTACGAACATTTCACGCAGGTGATATCTTGTTACTTTTAGAAGATTAACCGTTCTGTAAAGTCTTTAAGAAACAAGGTATTTAAGCATCATATAGTTGAGATTTGGAGTGGGGGGGGGGGAAGGGATGGGTAGTTGTCTTTTGTTTTGTTTTCAATATTGTTTTCTTTTTCGACACGTAGCAAGTAGTTATGGGGATTGTAAGTTTATGAGACAAATGATATCTTTTTAACAGCAACACCCAGCAACGTGATATATATATATATATATATATATATATATATATATATATATATATATATATATATATATATATATATATAAATTTCATTTTAATTTAAATATTTAATCAATTAGGCAGTAATTTTATTAAAAAAATATATTTCTTAGTTTTTTTAGTTTTCTGCCTATATCAGCTATCGATCATGTCGGCATCTGTCTTTATCGGTCATTAAGATAATATTAGAAACCTACATTTCTAAATCTTGAATTTCTACATTAGGATAACAACACGTTTCCCTCCATATCAACATTGACAAGTACGAAGCACCAAGCCAACTGATATTTTCCTTTCATTTACACGATTCTACAATCGAACAAAGATGATGAAATGCATGATTCAAGACTCGAACAAAGAAGCTTCAAGAATCAAACTAAGGAGTTCGACCAGTCAAACGTGACAATTATCCGGCTATCTTCTTATATAACATTGAAGATACAATTTATTTTGTTTACGAATTTTGGATAATATAAATAAGTATAGCATGTAAGTCACGTGGTAATTATTAAATGGCCACTGTTGTCTATTTTGTTTCATAGTCTTCTAATCTACATTGGCAAAAGGATAAAATGGCTTATTTAATCAGGGAATCTAATAAAACTGTTCAAAGTCCTAGCGAGAGGATCTAAGATGTCTTTTACAGAATCTCAACAGAGAAACTCTAACTTCGGTAGTTCATTGGTCAAGGTAACTAGCATTACTTACGTCATTAGTCACCTAGAGTTACCTTAAGTCAAGGTAACTAGCATTACTTACGTCATCAGTTACCTAGAGTTATCCTAAGCTAAGATAACTAGCACTACTTACGTCATTAGTTACCTAGAGTTACCCTAAGCTTAACTAAAGAGTAGAGAAAATCCACTTACGACCATGTCACGACTTACATAGCCATTTTTGTCTGCGATGTTGTTGGTCAGCTTAAGTTTCTGGAAACTGATGGACTTCTGCATCCACTGCTCGCCCGTGCAGGGGGAGTCGGGGTGGATGTACATCCGCCGGGGCATCTCAGGGTCAGCCTTGCCTGCTATTGACCATTTGCCGTTGTGGAACTTGTACCTGTAGGAGAACATTCATGATTAGGTTATAACAATGGATGAAAATCTGAGGTAATAAGCTGCCTTGAGTTCAAATGCTGAATATGACGTCATAAGTTCCATTAAATGACATCAGTCTCTGTTTTAATTGTGTGTATGTGTGTGTGGGTATGTGTGTGTGTATGTGTGATATTGATAATAAATTTTCACACAAATGGCTGAAAATAACCACACATCAAATTTGAAGTTATGTTTCAACATTTCATCGATTTGCGGTAACTGGAAGTGAAATGTATTCTTCTTTCAATATTTTCAAAAGCCTATAATTTGAGTACCGTTTCTGATAGATGAAATTTCACATATAAGGAAAAGAACTAGATTTCTGTTTTCTGTTTAATATTTGAGTAATTTTTTAATACACGCATTGTTTGCAGTTCAGTTGGTGCGCAATTCTTTTTTCTACGAGATTCTATTCTATTATAAAAAGTTTAAGTAATTAAAAATTGATTAAAATCGTGTCTGTGTCCCGAGTTGCCGTCCCCCGTAGTGTTATAAAAGAATATTCGAGAAAGTTTAGGGAAGATCACTCCCGCTTTATTATATTTACATGTTTTTTAAAATTGTTTTATTTTATATAATTTAGTATTTGTATATTGTAGAAATGCAAGTGTTATCAGATATTCACGTTTAGAAAACTCGGTAGAACGTCCCTGAGTCCACCCAGTTCTGATGGGTACCCAACTGACGTTAGGGAAATAAATGTACCATGTTTATCTGTTAATTTTGTTCATTTGATTAAGGCGACATCCACACAACTTAAAACATGTGCTTTAATAAAACTCTAAACGACAATTATCTACCCCTAACTCGACTAAAAACCTGTGGTTTAAAAACGCTAAACGAGAATTATCTCCCCTTTCCCCCCAGTTCATGCTAAGAAATCATCAGTGAACACAACTCACAAGGACTGGTGGAGTATAATCGTTACTGATTAATCTTGTTATCCCCCTTTATGTTACTGAATATGCTAATCTGAAAATTAATTTTTAATGACCGATTTAATTTTTAACTAGATTAACAATATTCCAGCGCTGTATTATTATCGTGGAAGAAATATTTTCGAAATAGCTGCATTTGAAGTGGGTAAAAATTAAGTCATACAATTAAGCTACAAACCCACAAATAGACGTTGTGAACAAAGCAACAGCTTTAGAAGGCCGCAAGACCTACGCCCAACAGAAACAAGCTTACAAACAACATACATTGTATGAAATTTTAGAGACAATTTGTCACTATGGACATGTGGCAAACATAGACAAATAGCTGAGTTTAACAAATAATCAGGATGGACAAGTGATCTTTATAGATGCTGATATTGAAAAATGGCCCACAGAGAAGCAAGAACGCCTTGGACTAGAAACCGAAAATTGATAATGGCCGCATGGACAATGACCGACATCTACCAATGGCCGACAATGACCATTGACCGACATGGACTATTGGCCGATATGTGTCAAAGGCCGAAACCGATACATTTCCGCCGTGGACACTATGCCAATGTTACCACGAAGGTCAAGGCCACTAGTTCCCGTCCCTGCAACCATTAGTCAGGCACAAGTCTGCTGTAGGTTGTAAATTGTTTGCTGACGTCTCATTGTTTACAGCCCGCCCTGTCCGGGGGTCGCCTGTCGCAGGCTCGCCTGTCGCAGGGTCGCCCGCCTGCTGCCAGGTAATGTTTCCTGACATTAATTCGGGAAAGCCCGAAGGCGGGAGATGTAAGCGTATAACTCGCGGGGCAGACGCGTCACAAACTTGTCGTCTGCGCTCTAACTGGGCGGAATGAGCTACAATTAACCAGCAGACTTGTGACGTCGTCCAAAAACCAAACCGGAAGCTGGGGTCTGTCTCGTTAAAAGGTGGGTTTGGTTTAACGTGCAGGTAGGTTCATGGTGGGTTTGGTTTAATGGACAGGAAGGTTTGGTTTAACGTGCAGGTAGGTTTGGTTTAACGTGCAGGCAGGTTTGGTATAATGCTCAGGTAAGTGTGGTTAGTTGTAATGTGCAGGTAGGTCGAAGACCTTATAAACAATTTGACAGCAAATGATTTCTTGATCTCGTGTCGTGAGATATCAGATTTGGGCCCCTTTCCTGTTAGACGTACTTCCGCACAACCCTATTGCCACTGTTAATCCGAGGGTTAAATCTATGTTTAGCGTGGGATACTTGGTACAATACAATCTTACAACTTATAACTATACGGGGTTATAAAATAGCCAGTCCAAAATTACCAAATTCCCTCTACATTAAACCTTCACAGTTTTCACGTATTTAGTAGGGAAGTGATTAGATATTGGGGGAAGACAATTCTGACTGACTTTAAAATGTTAAATAGTATATCAGAACCCATTATCATTGTGCTGATGAAATAGAGTTTATGTTTATAAAAGATTTGGCTTACTGCCAAGCAGTCTTTCATTTTCCCAATTACCCGAGTGAACTTTGAGGTGACAGTAAGCATCACATGGACTCCAAAACTAGGATTCAAACTCGAGCACTTTCAAGTTTGTATTTGTGGACACTACCCCTCTACCATGCAATACCATCATCTTGTATGAGTTATGTTTAGTTTTTAAATAAGCTAAAGTCAATTGTCACGAAGTTTGGTATTTATAAGGAGCCTAGAAGATGCATTAGAATCAATCGCAATTCACATCTAAGTTTATTCAATATTACCACTATTCCACATCACTCGTTTATTACATTAAGGCTCAATGCTTAAATTTCAAAGTGTTTTAATTGAATTATATCCAGCGTATCATTAACCATTGTAGCATTAGCCAGCATCATTTAGTACAGCATTATCCTGTATATATTAGCCGGTAGAGTTAACACGGTTAAAACTTTGATGTCATGAATGTGGGGGCGGGGGGAAGGGGGTGGGGTCGGGGGTGGGGGGGGGGGGGACACCCAGCTGTTACCTTATGCATGTTGATAAATTGATTCCTTTGAAATCGATATGTTTTAACATATTATCAGGTATACGCTAAGCCCATTTGATCTTAACACTCTACGTTTACATACATTTGTCTGTCTGTTACGGTGTGCAGCCTTATGCTAAAACGCATACGTATACTTGTTATATGAACATACATTACGTTTACCTGTACATATATAAATGAACAAATATTAGGGCGATTTTCTACCAAAGCAGCGAGATCTTACAGTAAAATGCGAACTTTGACGAAACAAATAGATGTTTATCAGATATGTTTCTACTACACTATGTATCCATCTCATCTTAAAAAATCCTAGTCTATAAATAGTTTAAATGCGCACGAGTCCCATAATGCATGGTGTAATATTCAAAGATCACAATGACCTAGGTCATCATGATCGCTTAATCTAGATTAACTTAATTCCATTTGCATTTTTGAAATTAATTATTATAATTAATCATTATAATTTCATGTATTCGGTAGCATCTAATAATTTATTTAACTTACACCTTAGCATTTACATATGCAGAGGTGTATTGTATAGGCAACAATGAGGAAGAATTTTTACCTAGAGCTGGAGTTATACCCCATGCTGTGTCTACAAGAGATACGGGTAGGCTAGTGGTGTTACAAGTTACACTGGTTGTCCTACTGGTTGTCTGTCCTACTAGTTGTCTGTCCTACTGGTTGTCCTGCTGGTTGTCCTACTGGTTGTCCTACTGGTTGTCTGTCCTACTGGTTGTCTGTCCTACTGGTTGTCTGTCCTACTGGTTGTCTGTCCCACTGGTTGTCCTACTGGTTGTCCTACTGGTTGTCTGTCCTACTGGTTGTCCTACTGGTTGTCTGTCCTACTGGTTGTCTGTCCTACTGGTTGTCTGTCCTACTGGTTGTCCTACTGGTTGTCCTACTGGTTGTCTGTCCTACTGGTTGTCCTACTGGTTGTCTGTCCTACTGGTTGTCTGTCCTACTGGTTGTCTTACTGGTTGTCTGTCCTACTGGTTATCTGTCCTACTGGATGTCCTACTGGTTGTCTGTCCTACTGGTTGTCTGTACTACTGGTTGTCCTACTGGTTGTCTGTCCTACTGGTTGTCCTACTGGTTGTCTGTCCTACTGGTTGTCTGTCCTACTGGTTGTCTGTCCTACTGGTTGTCTGTCCTACTGGTTGTCCTACTGGTTGTCTGTCCTACTGGTTGTCCTACTTGTTGTCTGTCCTACTGGTTGTTTGTCCTAGTGGTTGTCTGTCCTACTGGTTGTCCTACTGGTTGTCTGTCCTACTGGTTGTCTGTCCTACTGGTTGTCTGTCCTACTGGTTGTCTGTCCTACTGGTTGTCTGTCCTACTGGTTGTCCTACTGGTTGTCTGTCCTACTGGTTGTCTGTCCTACTGGTTGTCCTACTGGTTGTCTGTCCTACTGGTTGTCTGTCCTACTGGTTGTCCTACTGGTTGTCTGTCCTACTGGTTGTCAATCCTAGTGGTAGTCTATCCTAGTGGTTGTCCTACCGGTTGTCTGTCTTACTGGTCGTCCTACTGGTTGTCTGTCCTACTGGTTGTCCTACTGGTTGTCCTACTTGTTGTCTGTCCTACTGGTTGTTTGTCCTACTGGTTGTCTGTCCTAGTGGTTGTCCTACTGGTTGTCTGTCCTACTGGTTGTCTGTCCTACTGGTTGTCTGTCCTACTGGTTGTCTGTCCTACTGGTTGTCTGTCCTACTGGTTGTCCTACATGTGGTCCTACTGGTTGTCCTACTGGTTGTCCCACTGGTTGTCTGTCCTACTGGTTGTTTGTCCTACATGTTGTCCTACTGGTTGTCCTACTGGTTGTCTGTCCTACTGGTTGTCTGTCCTACTGGTTGTTCTACTGGTTGTCTGTCCTACTGGTTGTCCTACTGGTTGTCCTACTGGTTGTCTGTCCTACTGGTTGTGTGTCCTACTAGTTGTCCTACTGGTTGTCCTATTGCTTGTCTTACTATCAGTACAGCTACCACTACATCCTACTTTTCATGCTAACTCTAATAATCTTGCAGCTAGTGTGGAATGGGGTGGCGGATTGATAGAGCTCTTGAGTGCAAACCCTCAAGTCTCAAGCTCCATTCCTTGATTTTTTTTTCATGCTTCCCTAAACCCACCAAGCTCTGATGAATGTCTATTTTATAGGCGTACAACTGACCACACTATAGTTTCATTTGTCGAGGTCACAGAAACAAAGTTTGCTTCATCTGACCTGTATATGCCCGCAAGCTTATTGGACTGATGCTTTACTCGCCAAACTCTCCAACTGTCCTTAGACCGGACCAGCTAGGATTATTGTAGATGAAAAATATTTAAAAAATAAATAAAAACCTGTTTACCTGCAGTCGTCCACAGGTACGATGTCCATCAGTAGAATATACTTGGCTTTCTTATCTAGGCCACTGACCTTGACCTTGAAAGACGGGAACATTCTCCTGTAAAACCGGAAATAAAACTTGTCAGATAGTCCCAATATCACCGCAATAGTCGTAGGATTATATTGTATATTTTTACATACACGTATTACCATCAAAACAACATATTTGAGACAATACATGCATTTTAACAGTCATATACGATTTATAGCATATTGTATGTATGTTTGATTTCATTTAAACATATTTAACCACAATCTATGATGATTATACTATGTATTTTTAGAGTATGCAAATGAACGTATCAATTTTTCAATAATAAAAACAAACTAAGAAACTATTGTTAATTTCTAGTTGTATAATTTTATGTAACAAATACAATAAAAGAATACACGTGACAATATGATGTTTTACTTTTGAACGAGGAATAACTTTCAACAGGCCTAGACCAAGTATTTCGTTACGTTTTTTGTGTACCTGTGTTCGAACCTAAACCTTTAACCCCGCCAGTTAGAGGAGCTACCCAACCACCAGTCCTTCACCAGATCAAAGTAACCCAGGTCTATAATGTTAAACCAATCTAGAGTTGGTTCCTACAGTGAATTAAAATCGCTATTTAAATATGTAGTTATGGTTAATGGATAAGAAGAATAGGCGATACTATAGGATATGTCATACGGGGGGAGGGGGAGGGGGGGGGGGGAACTGTCTTTTGCTGAATTTAAAAAAAAAAACAATATTTATTCTAAAACTAATTATATGAAAGGTTAATAATTAATTCACATATTTGTATTTTATGTTTTTGTATAACGTATTTGGGCTTTAATTATTCTTTATATAGACATGGAGTCTCGATAAAATTCGATGGAGGCTAAACCACAAACACCACCCCCTTCCCAAATAATAAAACAACGTACGACTAGATCTGTATATAGATAAGAGGCTCTTTTTGTTTGTAGTATGTAGCTTTTTAAGTCCGTTTTTAGGTTGCAACAAAAAAAAGTAGCATGAAAACTAGTCGGTCACAAAGCGGCTTTATAGTTTTATGAAATGAAATGCCTTGCATTGTGTCAATGTATTGCATCAGTAAGTTCCAAACTATAAGATTAGTTGAAACTTTTAAGGGATTTTACTCAGATATTCTGCCTCTCATATCAAAACAAACATCATAAGAATATTTGAGTCACATTTACTATTCCCATACAATGCTCGCATCCCTGAATAAAAGAAAGGACACGGACAAAAGGCCGATTGGGATAAAGGGCCGATTGGCAAACCGCAGAAGACAATGAACTAAGCGGATACGCCATAGCCGACTGACAATTCTTAAACAATCAGAAACCAACTTCACAATTCAATGATCTAAAAATGTTAGATTAAATTGTATGCTATCATAAAAACATAACTTCTTTACGATAGCACCCTAATTAGCTTTTGTTTAGCTCATAATATATTCCTTTAATTGGGACAAACATTAAGATTAAATTTAATGTTATATTGTAATATACCACATTGTATTTTTACGTTTATCTCATAGTCATCTAATATATTTTTCTGATAATTATAGATGCATGCTTTTGTGGTCATTCAGCCTTTGTGATCATTTTGTCTTTTTGGTAATTCTTTCTGATTTGAATAGATTTTGTGTTTAATTTCGGGTGAATTTTTTTTTCTTCTGAGACGTTTGTTTTTACCGTGACCTTTGGACATGGCGGCCTGGTATACAGGGAACCTTTTCAACCGGAACACAACAGCTAGACAACATCATACTCAACCACAACATCATACTCAACCACAGCATCACAGGCAACCACAGCACACCAGTCGACCACAGTACCACACTCAACCACAGTACCACACTCAACCACAGTACCACAGTCAACTACAGCATCACATTGCAACCAGACAGCACCACAGTCGACCACAGTACAACACGACAGCACCACAGTCAACTACAGCACCACAGTCAACTACAGCACCACAGTCAACTACAGCACCACAGTTAACCACAGAACTAGACAGTACCACAGTCAACCACAGCCAACTATAGCATCACAGTCAACTACAGCACCACAGTCAACTACAGCACCACAGTCAACCCCAGCACCACAGTCAACTACAGCACCACAGTCAACTACAGCAACACAATCAACTACAGCACCACACCCAACCCCAGCACCACAGTCAACTACAGCACCACAGTCAACTACAGCATCACAGTCAACTACAGCACCACAGTCAACTACAGCACCACATTGCAACCAGACAGCACTACAGTCAACTACAGCACCACAGTCAACTACAGCACCACAGTCAACTACAGCACCACACCCAACCACAGCACCACAGTCAACTACAGCACCACAGTCAACTACAGCACCACAGTCAACTACAGCACCACAGTCAACTACAGCACCACAGTCAACTACAGCACTACAGTCAACTACAGCACCACAGTCAACTACAGCACCACAGTCAACTACAGCACCACAGTCAACTACAGCACCACACCCAACCACAGCACCACAGCCAACTACAGCACCACAGTCAACTACAGCACCACAGTCAACTACAGCACCACAGTCAACTACAGCACTACAGTCAACTACAGCACTACAGTCAACTACAGCACCACAGTCAACTACAGCACCACAGTCAGCTACAGCACCACAGTCAACTACAGCACCACATTGCAACCAGACAGCACTACAGTCAACTACAGCACCACAGTCAACTACAGCACCACAGTCAACTACAGCACCACAGCCAACTACAGCACCACAGTCAACTACAGCACAACAGTCAACTACAGCACCACAGTCAACTACAGCATCACAGTCAACTACAGCACCACAGTCAACTACAGCATCACAGTCAACTACAGCACCACAGCCAACTACAGCACCACAGTCAACCACAGTACCACACTCAACCACAGTACCACAGTCAACTACAGCACCACAGTCAACCACAGTACCACACTCAACCACAGTACCACAGTCAACCACAGTACCACAGTCAACCACAATACCACAGTCAACCACAGTACCACAGTTAACCACAGCCAACCCCAGCACCACAGTCAACCACAGTACCAGTCAACCACATCACCCCAGTCAACCACCATTATATATCACTTTATCTGCAGTAAATTAAAAACCCATATCCAACACATCAAACCAGACTTTGATTTATCCTCCTTTTGACCCTTAATCCTCCAACATATCCCTAATCCACTACAACTTAACTAATCTCCACGAGACCATACACACGTTTTAACATCCCAATTTTTAGTATAAATCACGTTGATGACGGGAGAGCGTCGCTTTGCTTGAAACACAGACTAGGGTCAAACTCTATCATCTCAACGACAAGCACCATTAAAAAAAACCAGCCCAACAACGACGGCTGTACCGTATAATAGCTTCATAAACGCCGACTACGGAGCAGGAGTCTCAAATTTGGAGCCATAGTACGGAGCCAACGGTTGCTGTAAAGATAAGTGGGGTGGAGGGGGAGGGGCGCCGCAAATAATACACGGGAGCGCGGCGAAGACCTGAGTATAGGGAACGCTCGCCATGCCGCGTCTAGACGTCTAGTCAACGACTCGCCAACCGGTGCTAGTCAATAGTTTGACACGGAACCACCATCTTGGCGGAGTATACACACTTCAAATCTATTTCAACTTTTTTTTTCCCCTTCAAACTCCTGTCAGGCTAGTTCTGTGATTTGACATCATGAAAAAAAAAATTCTCCAATCGCGTATTTGTACAATAAAACTTCAAGAAAACATGACCGTAATCTAGGAGAGAAATCTACTTGCAGGTTTTTTTTTTCGCGGTGTACACAATTTCGCGTTAGATTAGATTAAATTAAGATTTCACTGATGAGGGTGAAAGTGTAATAGCTCTATTAAGGCCTCATTACGACGGGGAGTCAATTTTGAATTCAAACACTAGAAGAATCGAAGGGTGGGGGTGGGGGGTGCAATACGACGACATATTTCCCCACAACGCGTCCACTGGCACTAGGATTAGAAGGCTGCAAACAGATGGAGGTTTGATACGCCGGGTCTGATTAACTCACGGTCTCAGAAACCGAACGGCATGTTGGGAAGGCGAATGTGCGCCCTCTAGCGGCGGGTAAGACAATACGGGGGTGACACGCTTATCTCACTCTTCGGCTACTCCGAATCGCTTTCGGTAATTTGCGTTGATTAGCGGGGTAGAGGGGGACGTGTCGGGGCATATTGGTAAATGGAAGCGAGCGGGCAGAAGTAGGCGAGGGCAGATAGAGAGATAAAATTGACGAGATTAATTAGATAGGCAAATGGTGAAGAGGGGGAAAGTAAGGTGGGTGGTGGGGGTGAAAGGCTAGTGTTGAAGGAAATATCGTAAAGTTTTTATGTGGTAGATGCTAGGATAGAAGCTAAAATTTTAGTTTTGGTTGAGTTGATTAGGGGATAGTAGTGGATGTAGGTTTAGGTTTTGGTTGAGTTGAGTAGGGCATAGTAGTGGATGTAGGTTTAGGTTTTGGTTGAGTTGAGTAAGGCATAGTAGTGGATGTAGGTTTAGGTTTTTTTATGACTGGGTAGTCGAGTGGTAAAGCGCTCGACTACTAACTCAGAAGTCACGGGTTTGGATCCCATGCTCGAGTGACCTATAGGACGTTCCGAATATCACCTAGCTCTGATTGGTACCTGACACATGTTAGTGAAACAAAGTCGGCTGGGCATAGTGCTGACCACACAGTCCCTCTTTATGTCAATATCGTTGATACAGATGAACTCTACTACATCTGCCCGATGTGTTTTGGGCATGAAAGAGAAAAGAAGATGACGTAGAACATATTGATGGTTGGACACATTTTTTTTTTAAATTAGCAGTTGTTGTTAATGCTCAAAGGGTGTCTGTGTATTTATCAATATCATAAATTTGATTAAAAAAATAATGAGTTCTAACTAATTAATTAATTCCGTTAATTTCAATAATTAATGAAATATGTACCTACCACGATGAAACTTAATACTTTTTTTTAATCGCGGAAAGCTTTTTATTATTTATTTTAAAAACATATTTTGTTGCAACAAAACTTGAAAATAAGCTTGAACTTAACCCGTTTAGGAAATTTGAGATTCTTAAAATGATCAAAAAGTAGATTATACAAAAACAGCAGGACGTATAGAAACGGATGTATACATGAAATGTAAGCTGGACGGTATGATGGTAGCTGGCTAGTTCTAGTTTTGTCACACATACACACTCACACACACGACAAATACACACAAGCACAATACACAATACACACACACACAAAACACACGCAGACACAAACAACCACACACATACACATGCTAATCTTTAACAATCACTTTAAAAAACGATCATTTAATAAAACTGAATTATTGGGCGAATATCAAAGATTAAATTTCATTTGGAAAACATAAAAAAAAATTAATTTCTTCTTAAAAACCGTTTCATAAGTAATCTGCCCTCATAGTACATTCATACTCTCACAATATTACAAGTAATTATATCGTCAGTTATACATTATCCAATAGGTTAATAACAAGATAAAATATAGCCGTATAATAAGGGTGTGTTAAAATTTTAAGTTAGTGTTAAGATTATTATGTTGCCGGAAGTACTAATTCTTACAAGCAAACCCAATTCATGAGCAACATACATAAGCTTTATGTAAAGTTAAATACTTGAAATTAATTAGTCAACCATTACGCTCAAGTTAATGACCGACATCTTATTGGCGCATATACTAGGACTAATGGAGCTGTTTCGCACTAAGTAAAGTTACATCTATTCTATCTGAAACACCACATATCAGCTTATTGCACACCTACACACCGTTTCATCTCATAGACTTTTACCATATAGGCTAACCACATATAGATTTGTCCTTATCAACAGTTGCTCAACAAAGTACGGCTACATCTAAAGTGTCACCTCACACAGAAACAATGCACACACGACACACACACACATCACGCAGACACGACGAAGACACCACGCAGATATACACACACCACGCAAACAGCCATACATACACCACACAGACACCATGCTCACACCACGCAGACATCACACACACATACCACCACATACACCACACACACCACACACACCACACGGACACACCACGCACACCACAACACACAGACACCACACACACCACCCACAGATCCCAGCTTATCAAACTGTTGCTCATCTATAACCGCAGCTTTCCCTGCTCAAAGTGTTTTAATACAAAACAAATGGGTGGCAAAGATTTACAACTCAACTGACTATTCCGTGAAAGATTATCCTAATCTATGATAATCATAATCCGGATTCAGTAAAGGGAGAGAACAGATTGCAACGTCTCTCCTGTTTAGAGTTACGTTTCTTTGTCGTCAAACTACTTTGATCACGCATATTTTTTTTTTCTTCAACAGTCGCTCAGAAGCACACACACAAAAAAAAGGAATCGAAGAAAAAAAAGAAAATGTGTTTTAAGAAAAAGGGGATTAGGGATTAACCTGAAGGAAAAATCGTTTTGAATTAACAGTTGTAATTTATTACCAGCAACTAACCATTTGACACTTATCCTCCTACCGATCGAACAGGCGGGTTTCCCCTGAGTGCGGCCCCCATTTAATAACAACTGTTCCAATATCGCGTTGCTTCAGGTATCGAATACACACAAAAAATTGTCCTGCCCACCTCCTGTTGCGTATTTTTTCAAAAAGTTGAAGAAAATCGAGATTTGGGGTGATTACCGCGTATTCGATTACATGTAGTTTCAAATGTACCAGGAATAACACCAAAAAAAAAGTGTGAGTATGAAACTAAGAGGAATCGATTTACTGTTGATAAAAAACACGCGGTGTAAGTAGAAGAGGGGGGGGGGTGTCGGGGCGACATATGCAGCGATATTTCACACGTCGCTTACAGGCCCCAGGTGTTGATTTAGTTGAAGGTTGAGTAAAAATTGAATTAATATCAACAGTTGATAGGTGGTTGGGGGGGGGGGGGGGGGTTAGTCACGATCCAGAAAGTGAGTGTGGATATAAGTAAGTCACGATCCAGACAGAAAGGTGGTTGTGGATATGAGTTAAGCATAATCCAGAAAGGTGGATGTGGATATGAGTTAGGCACAGATAGGAGAGTTAGGCACGATCCAGACATGTGACTTAATGAAGAGTAAGGACACTAAGTTAATGAGTGTGTCCTTTAGCAAAGCTGTTCATTAACTTTATTATATTTTGTGACGATGACCGTAAAGGTGGAGGTTTGCTGTTAGTCTTGATACGGTTGGAGGGGTTTGCTTTTAATCATGACAGGGTTGGGGGTTTGCTTCTAGTTGATGGGGTTGGAGGGGGTTGCTGTTAGTGCAGATAGAGTTGGAAGGGGTTGCTATTAGTCATTATAGGGTTGGGATGGTTGCTATTATTTGATAGGGCTGAAGGAGGTTGCTTTTAGTCATGATAGGGTTGGGGGATTGCTGTTAGTTGATAGGGTGGAGGGGGTTGACCTAGCGATGACCACACAGCATTCCTATACGAGATAAATGACACAACCAAACTCTACTACATCTGCCATAGAGGTCACTACTTTTTTAAATGTTGGGATATTGATCAGATTACCGTTATCAATCTGGCTATGTGAATTGCTACGTTGAAAATTAGGTTAACGGTAAGGTTTAGATTACGGTTTACCTGTTGGCTGCTATGTAAGTTAAGCTTGTTACAAACCTGAGACCACGTGATACTATTACCTTCAGTGCACGCTGGGTACGGCAAAGCCAACTGTAGCTGCCGTTGTTCCAATTACCCGGCACTCAAGTGCCGTAATGCAGACAGTGGCATTTATTTGCCAGTTTTAAAACCCGGCAAACATCGATTAAACCGAAATCCTCCATCTAACTCGGTTCTTCGGCCACACAACAACATTCCTGGCGAGCTTTCTGCGAGTGCCGACTACCTCGTGACGTCACTTCCTCCTTGAAACCTAAACGTTTCATTAAACTCCCGCGTGTTAAGTCGCGCCCGGATTAAGGTTTTACGCGCAGTAAGTGGCAAAAAATACATCAACTGTAAAAATTCAATATTGAATTATTGAGCATATTTTATCGTAATTTATTCGCAGCGGGTTGCAGTAAAAAAAAAAATTTCGTACAATTCAAATTTTTTTTCTACCTCCCCCGCCCCCCG